ATTTAAGTAGAAAGGAAACATTGGCCAATGGCTAGAAGAAAATAGAAGTACTATTTCCTAAACATAGTTCTACTATATCATAAAAAGGAGTATTTAAGGTGCAGGTTAAATGTACAATCTGTTTGAATAATGCTAAGACCAAGAAAGGTTGCAAACCAGTAGTAGCAGCAGGAACCTGGCTTAAGATACATACTACCAGTACCTAAATTTGGAAAATAGCAGTGGCAGCAGGAATCTGGCTTAAGATACATGCTAGAAAGGCACCCTTCAGGCAAACCAAAGATGGGAGCTTAAAAGGAGCAAACAACCTGATAGACCATTTGGGAATTGTGAAAAATAGGTTGTGAGATATAGGAGAAATATATAGGTTACCTAATATAATTGGTAGTGAAACAAAAATCTAGATTAGATGTAAGTGAGATACAATACAAAACTCTGATAGGTTTAGGTCACAGATAAAGACATCTGAGTCCTATGTCTAAATAAATATATAGTGATAGATGATATATGATAAAAATTGTACTAGCTATAACCAATATACTAATAAAGACTTGAGAGCATGACCTCATCTTAACAATAAAAAAAAAAAAATTATTCAAAAAAGTATATAACTATTTTATTTGAATAAGTTATTTATTTCTTTTTTCATTTTACTATTATCTTTTATTATTTCTTTTTTTTGATATTAAAGTAACTTTTTGAGTTTTTTGACTTTATAATATATTTTTAGAAATGTAGTTTTATAAAGAGTTATTAAAGAAAGAATATATAATTAATTATTTATATAACTTTCTATATTATTTATTTAAAAAGTCTGTCTAATATTCTTTATCAATTGTTATATCTAATATTTCTGCTTAGATATTTTATTTTAAATCCTTTAAATCTATCCTATATTAACTTTACTAGATCAAGTCTGGATTCTTATTTTAATTTTAAGATATTTTTATTTTTAAGATAAATCTTTTAAAACCTATTGTATACTTATTTTATAGTTGATTTAGGTATTACTATAACTAAATTAGTACTTGTAATTAAAACTAACCATTAAACTACTATGTTTTTATAAAATTTATTTAGATCACAGTATTTACTTTATAGTATATCTCTAGTACTTTAGTATACTTCTGCTTCTTTTATCAAATTTCTAATTTAAATAACTTAGTAGAACTATAATTAGTTTATTGATATATCAGATTAGTTCAATATCTTTTTTCTTTGATCTAATCTGATAACCTAATTGAAAATACTCTTTACTTAAAAGTTTTTGTTTATTTGGTACTTTGACATTAATATCTATTTTTAGGTCTAGTCTTTATAATAATACTGTCAAATATCTGAATTACTTTTCTGCTTAGGTCTTTTTAAATAGGTTTTTTGTTTTCTAATTTCTACAGATTTATATGACTACAAAAACTTATCTTGAGTTTGCATTATTTAATACCAGTTTGTATTCTTCTGTATAACCAATTATACAAATGTCTCATGATCTGTCAGTTATGTTAATATAACCATAATTACAGGTATCTTAACCCAATTATTAGAAACAGTTATCATAACACAAATAGAAAATTCAAATTTGTTATCAGTAAGTTTTGAATTTACAATATGTTACTTGAAAGGTTGACAACTTATTCATTTTACTAAGTTACTATATTCTTTTTTTATTATTTCTTAGTTGTATCTTTTATTATTATCTTTTATGTTTTAATATTCTTTTTGGTTTATTTTTTTTTTTCTTTTTTACTTTCTTATAAGAAAATGTTATCAGTTTGAATAATACTTTATTGTAAAGCAGTGATCAGATTAGTGTCCAATCCATTATCCATTTATCCATTTATCTATCGGATATCCAGATCTGAATATCGTTTTACTATTGATATCCGGATAATTATCCGAATATTAATAGTAAATAGTTATCCGGATAAATTCAGATATGGATAAATAGATGACGGATTTATCCGGATTGGAACTATAGATTAGATGTATTTTTGGATATCATAGTACTTTAGTACTATGTTTCTGATATAAGAAGGTCATTTATAAGATTTATAAAGGTAATTGCAATATTTGTAAGTCTGCAGAATATTGGCAGTAAAAGTTTAAGTTCAAAACCATTTTGTATAGGTGTGAAGTCTTAACAAATAAAACTGAATCAACACAACTGCCTATAGTGAAGAATACAATCAAACCTCTTTATGATCATACTTTAATTATATCTTTATATAAATATCTAATTTTGTAAAACAAATTACTATAAATATAAAAAAACCTCTATATAGGAAGAATTTTTTTTTTATAACCATATTTTTTAAAAAAGACAACTATATAATTATAGAAAGGATTGACTATAATACGTATATATACGTATAACTAAAATTTTTTATACAAATCTGTATTTTGAACTTGTACTTTAACAAATAAATTATGTATAAGCTGAGTCATAATTTTTAGAATTTTTTATTTTAACAAACCTTTTAATAACTACATACAGCATTAACAAATATTTATAAATTCTCGGACATTTGGCAAAAAATTGACCAACCGAATATTTGCCGATTCGACAGTTGTGATTTCGATACTGAATTAGAACTTATCAATTTTTTGCAGAGTTTATGAAAACAGCATATCACTTACCCAATTATTCATGGTTCATTCAATTATAACGATTTACAACTGTTTTCATAAATTCTGGAAAATCTAGCAAAAATTAACCAACCAAAGATTTGCCGATTCGATAAGTTTTTGATTCGGATGCAATTACATCCCAATCAAAAGTTTATCGAATCGGCAAATATTCGGTTTCCAGAATTTGTGAAAACTGTAATAGGTTGATACCGGGTCTATTTTGGTACTGTTTTTAGCAGGAGCGACCGTCAAATTCGTAGATGATGGATTCAAAGAATATGTTATAAGGCGAAGCGAAAGCATGAATTCATCCGTTAAATTTACTCTCGTTTCATAGAAAGTTAGGCTACCCGAGCTTTTAAAAGAAGTAGTGTAAAACGTATAAAAAAAATATTTATCAATTGTGCAACTATATCGGAATAACCTACGAAATTGAACGGTCGTTCTCAAACCAAAACCCTGACGGGGGGGCCTTACTGTATAGAGATGCTGAAACTATAGTTACAGCATCATTGGGATAATTCACTTGCATCTCTATTACTGTACGAGTTCATGACAACATTGCCAGAAACTATTTAAACTGTATGCAAGCAAAGTTCACTATTTTAAGTGTTCTAAGAAACTGCTTTTTAAAATAAGGTAATTTGTAATGGAAAAGGATTGTTAAGATTTAAATTTATTATAATTTTTTACTACCGCTACAGCATGATCCAACACTTTATATTTACATTATTGATTTTTAATACGAATTCATTTTATTTAAAATTTTTGGGTAAGAAAAAATTGTGTTAATACAGGTTAATACAGTTATTTTTCTAGACAGGATCACTTTAAAATACGTATGAAACCAATTAATTAAATTTTAAATATGAAAAACAAACACCAATAAATTGAAATTTTTTGCTAATAAGATGATTTTCCGGAACTATAATCAAAAAAGGTTCATCCGAATTGAACACAGAGTCTAGAAAATAAGGTTTTAATAATAGAACAATTTTCATAATCCCTGAGAGCCTAATTGGTTCAATTAACTTTTTTTAACCTAATGTTATACATATAATGTTATAGTTTTTGCACCAAAAAAGGTGTTAAATGTTTGTCCAATCGTTTCTTTCGAATAAATTATATAACGATAAACAACATGTGAGATTTCTAATACAAGTAATCGTCCATATAAAAAGCATTTATTTATATTGGTTATGAAATTCTTTGGTGTTCTGTTTGCATTTCATATAAGTATCAGGAAGTTGGTTGTATTTCGCGAATGCATTTGAAGTTGTTTGCATTTTGTAATAATGCACCAAATTATGTACGAATTATTGAAATAACTATTAATATCGTGAATAGGGTCTTTCTGATTGTCAGATTCGCCTGATCAGAGATCCTCCTAGATATATGTATAACTGTTAACGCTAAATTTAGAAAAACTTAATAATATATTCATATTATTTCATAATTAGTATATAATTATAACATATATATGGTATAACTTTGATGTACATCACCTAATTATTCTAATTACTCGATATACGAAATGATCAATTTTTACAATCATTGTGATTCGATTATGTCAAGAAATCATAAGGTAATTAACGTGATTGTTTTTAAGGAGAAAATTATTATTGATTAATAAAACATTTTGTCATAGTTACTCGAAATACCCAAATAATAATAGGTATAGTTGAATAGTTTATAAATATGAAGTTCAAATAAAATCGTAAGTTTCGACAAGTATGGCTTCCAACTTTATTTAAAGTTATATTCTGCGGTATTTTTTTGGTTTTATAAATCCTAAGCTTTTTTCACTCGCCTAAAAATTTAACTTATTATTATCGTCGAATTATTGTTGATGAATTAGGTTATTTGTTTAATTAATCGTGTCACTTACTAAATTTGACAATTGGTAGCATATAAAATACGCAGAGGTAATCTTTTTTAAAGAAAAACTCGGATTTTCGTTTTCGATTACAATTTAAGAATAATTCTTTCTTTCTTACGTTTAACTTGAGTTTGAAATATTAAAAATTCTGTTATTTGCGTCCTTTCTTCGTTATTGAACAATATTTATATAAACCTCGATTTTCTTGCGTACATGAGTTTGTACTTTTCTTGAAACGTCATTCTCCATTCTTTACCGACTTCAGTTTATGCATGAAACCCTGCAGATTTCAAATACATATATAAAGTAGCTCTATATTCTCTATAGTACTCGTTTCGTTTCTTCTATTTTGTATCTATTCTCTGAATAAAAGCTTTCTAAAAACTACTTACATTAATGGTTCAAGAATATCTCTTTTAAAACATTATCACTCATCGCGCGTCATACCTTTACGTCCAATTATTTTTCGATTATTTAATAACATACTATAAATATGTCTACAATTCTTGCAAATGCTTGGGTGGAAATAACTGATCCAAATACAAACGATATCTTCTATGCTAATCCTGTATTTATCTTTTTTTTAAGTCATGTTTCCCGCTGATTTATTATATTTTTATTAATCAAAATTTTTTTTTTTTAATTAGCAAACTGGTGAATGCGCGTGGGAAAAGCCATCTAATATGGTATTGTAAGTTTATCTCATTTATTATTTATTATTCATATAATAATCTGTTTCAAATAAAAGGTCTAACTCTTATTACGCAGGCATCAAAAAGATCCAACAGGTGAATGGTGGGAATTATGGGATGATAATCACCAACTACCTTATTATTATCACACGATATCTGGACAGACCGAATGGATTCGTCCGGAACATGGAACAATTATTCCTCTGACAAAAATTCAGGTATTAAGTTTGTTAACTTATCTATCGCCTTTATCTTTTAATTGATTTTTTTATTTATTTATTCAGAATTCGTCAATCGGTAAGAGGATATCGATTGCACTGACTCCATCGGATGATGAGATTGATATAAATCAAATACAACAAATTAATGGGCTAAGACATGCTAATATGGTATCTCCGGAACGCTCATCCGGGTTGTTAAGTATCAATTACGTTCTATCGAAACATAACTCGGCTTCATCATTAGCCTCATCGTCCTCAGCAATTAAATCATCAAGTCAAGAACAACTCGACCCTGTGAAGAATGAAAATGATGACGTTATGGATTCCTCAAATCAAGAAACTAGTCAATTAGAAATTTCAAACAATTCAACTTTAAATAAAGAAAATCCTGTAAATGAAGATATTATAGGCTCCTCATCTCAAAATTTTTCCATTGATAAATATGGTGCTTCAAACTCTTCTGATATACCTTCCCAGGTTTGTCTCTGCCCTTTCTTTTTCATCTTTTGTTTTTTTTTCGGATATTAATAAAATTTATTTTATTAGGATTCTGAATTAATTCCGATAAGACGGAATTCAAAAATTTCTCAGATTTCAATTGATTCTGTTATGAGTGTATCTACGGCTTCAACTTCTCGACCAAAGACCCCAAATTCTGGAAACATTCCTAATAGTGGAAATCAATTGTTCAAGATTATGTCTCCGAAAAAATCTTCTGAAGCTGCTGAACGTGCAAGAAAAACTGGAATTAGCAATCCTCGTGTAAACTATGGTAAGTTCATGTCTATTTGTTAAAATGGTTGTCTTGATTATACTTGAATAAAAAAAAATATTGTGATGAATTATTTGAGAAAATATTTAGGAATATATTATTTTATTGACATAATGTCGGGAAAATAGGTGTCTGGGAAATAATTTTATAAGTGTGGCCGGAATTTAAGTAGATTTAGAATTTCTTGATTTTAGTCTGCCTGAAGTTGAATTACTAACTAACTAACGCGTGTAAGGAAGATCTAATTTCAGGGGTTAATTTTAGTTTGTGTGCTTAAATTGGTAACTTCAATTAGATGTCGACTTCAAGCACGACAGATTCACATTAATCTAAATTTCTAATTTAAAATTTTCTAATTTAATTAAGAAATTCAAAATCCACTTAAATTCTGTTTCCACTTACAGCAAATATATGAATAAAAATATTGCCAACAATGACAGTTGAAAAATAATAATGGTTTTTTCTTATTTAGATGCTGCAGCTGCAATGAGATCGGCTGGCACATATAGAGATCTTGAAAAAAAAAGAACTGAATATAAGATACATACTCGTAAACTAAGTACTGGGTACGTTGAACTATAATATCTGAACTATTTGAAATCCATTTATTACAAATTTCTGATGCTTATTTATTGTTACAGTGAGGTTATGACACTACCAGCAGAATTACAACAAGATATAAATAAGTTTCGCATAGATGGGTTTGCCAGAAAGTATTTTAATACTCACAAAAAGGGAATTTTTCGAAGAAAGGTTCCGGTCGAAAAAATGCTTTTATTTCAAAAAGTAAATATTCCATGCCCTCAAATTTTGGCATTCGTGTCCACGGATTTCTATGTTTATAAAATTCATAAACTTTATTATCTTACTTATTTATTTTTTAAATTTCTAGGATGCAATTAAACAACCGTTGATGGTACTCAATCCTAATATTCAAAAAGATGCGATAAAGTGTTTCAAAACAATTCAACGCATAATGGGTGATAGGTCAAAAAGTCGCATTGGTTCTTCAAATGTATTAGAAAATATTCAATGGCTGTTAGATTGTGGTATTTTACATGGCGAATTACGAGATGAGATATATGTTCAAATTTGTAAACAATTAAATAACAATCCCAATAAGTATGTATTATATATTATTAGTAATTTATTATTCTAGAAATTTTGCTTAATAACCATTTTTCTATATTAAAAAAGAGATAGTATAAGAAAAGGTTGGGAGCTTCTTAGCGTGGTGACAGTTACTTTCCCACCGTCTAAGAATTTTGAGGCATACCTTATGAATTACGTAAGTGATAGTTTTAATGTGCAAGAAAACCAAATAGACGTGTTGAGCAAACATGTGCATAGTAGATTGGTTAGAATATGTAAACGTGGTCCAAGGGGTAAAGTTTTGACATTAGGTGAAATAGAAAGAGCAAAGGTTTGTTTTATTTCTATTTTTAAAGGAATATTATATAATTTATTATGAATTTATTGTCAACATCATCCACATTGTATGTTTTTCGTTAACACAGGAAGCACCTTTTAATCCTTCTATATTTGGTGAGACATTAGATTTCATAATGAAACTTCAAAGCAACTCTTATCCAAATTTAAAATTACCACGCATTTTACCATTTCTGGCGAATGCGATTATTGAGTTGAATGGTCAAACTTCTGAAGGTATATTCCGTGTACCTGGTGAAGTCGATTATGTAACTGAATTGGTATATATATATATATATGTATATGGTCTTTTTTTAACCAGTTTGATTAATTTATTATTGCTATTAATATAGAAACTTAGAATAGAAAAAAATCGGTTCGACATAACTGGGATAACAGATGCAAATGTTCCAGCTTCACTATTCAAATTTTGGTTACGAGATTTAGCTTATCCATTGATACCGAGTGATTTTTATAATCAATGTATACAAAATTGTGAAAACAAAGATTCGGCAATTGAGCTTGTTAAAAATTTGCCTGAAATTAACAAAAGAGTTGTTCTGTTTGTGATTGATTTCTTACAGGTTTGCATTTTTTTTTTTTTAGAAATATTTTCTTTATTACTTTGTATATATAATGTTTCAATCCTTTTCATATCTAGATATTCACAAAACCTCACATAACGAAAATAACAAAAATGAATGTAAATAATTTAGCAATGGTATTTGCACCAAATTTTTTAAGGTGTCCATCAGATAATCTCGCTGTTATATTTGAGAACACTAAATACGAGCAAATGTATGTTAGGACATTGTTATTAAATCTTAACAGTAGAGAGATTGAGTCTGGTCTAGAGTATATAAGTTTTGATGTATAGTCTATTACGGTCTATATGGCTCAAATGATCTATTATATAATATATAATAGTTCAGAAAAGGTGTGTTATACGTCTTTATTTTTCATTTAGTGTTTGGGCATTCGTAAATATTTACGAGATTTCTTATTCTTGATTTTAGATATTAAAATTTAATAATCCAATATTTAATTTCAGTTTTTTCTTTAAAAAAATATTTACACACATCAATTGGTAGATATAAATAATTTCAAAAAAAAAATTTTTAATCAATTTAGTGGATCTGAATGATTAATAAAAAGAATCTATTTATATTTCATACATTACATATTTTCAATTTTATTTGTGTTTTGAATTCTTTTAATTTGATAGTGTATATCTTTCATATGACAAAATTTTATTAAAAATTAAATATTTCTAGTTTACTATATACTGTATATATTTTAATTTATTTCTAAATTTTTAACGATTAGCAAATATGCCCCTTAATTTATAAGCACAATTTACATTCATAATGCACGTACATGGTTTTTAATCAAAATCAAAATCACAATAAAAAAATTGCCATATATATCGTATTTGAAGTTAGCTTTTCCTCAGAGTTACAACTTCAGTAGTACTACGTACACACTTTAAATTATTAAAATAATACGTGCAGATCTAATTTCAGGGGCTTTTGAAGTTGCAACATCAGGTGTGTATCACCTTTGGGCAGATGTATATAGTTATCGTCCAAACCTTGACAAATTTTATTATGGTTTAAACCATTTTAAAACTTTTGTAGTTTTAGATATTCTTGCCGGTTTATTAGTTGGTAGTTTGAACTGCTAATTATTTAAAAAAATTGGTAATACGTATCTTCAAATGTCGATTATGAAACCACCTTTCGGTTTAACAAAAAAAAATCCTTATAAAATTTTAAAATAAATTACTACGTACGTAATCCTAAACTAAATTGTTACGTACGTACTCGTGTATGATACACTGTAAAATTAGAAATTTTTTATTTATATATTACAATGTATATAATAAATTTCTTAAATTGTCTGACAAGCAAATTTGACTGTTAAAATAATTTTTTTGAAAAATTTTAACCGTTTTTTTACTTACTAAGTCGAATTAAAGATATTTTTTTTATAAATAATATTTTTTTTTAAAAAATTTTTTAAAAGAATTAATACCTAACTAAAACCCTAATAATTATATTGATTTTTATTAATAGATAAAAAAAAATTATATTTTCTTTTTTAATTATTATTAATTTTAAATAATTGTAATAATAATAAATAAAAATTGATTGATTTTTTTTTAATGTTAAGATGAGTACTTGCGATCCAGAATTTTATTAATAGTATATTTCAACTAATGGTTGCTTTACAACTACAAGAGGCAATCATAAAAATTGTTTAATTTTAATTTTATTTATAATTTATATTACAGTATCATCATGTAATTATTATATGATTTTTATAATAGATTTTTTTTTTGTTAAGGTGACTTCTTTGGTTTTTTGATTTTTATTAATGATTTTTTGGTAATGTGATCCTATGAACTACTACAAAAGAATATACAATTGATTACATATGTAACTTTTCTATATTGCCTATTTAAGAAGTTTACCTGAAGGTTTCTCACCAATTGCTGTATCTAACATCTTTGTTTAGGTGTTTTACTTTAAATTTTCTGAACCTACAACCTATATTAACATAACTAGGTCATACCTAGATGTTCAGATTATTATCTCAACTTTAGGATTATTTTATACTTGAGATAAACCTCTTAGAGTCTTCTGTATTTATTTTTACAACTAACTTGGTATTATTATAACAAAACCAACATTTGTGATCAAGGCTTAACTATTAAACTACTGTGTTTTTATAAAGTTTACACAGATTTTAACATCTACTTTATAGCATATTCAAAATATTTTAGTATATTTCTGTTTTTTTATCAAATTCTTAATTCAGATAATCTATATAAAATTACAATCAGTTTATTACTATATTGGATTAGCTTATTATTTTTTTTTTCTATTTTGTTTTAGTAATCTAGTTGGTAGTATTTTTAAGACTTTCAACTTAGAGGTTCTTGTCTGTCTAGGTACTACAACCTTGATATCTATTTCTTTACAATAGGGTTGTCAAAGATTTGGTTACTTTTTTATTCAGATCTTTTTAAATAGATTTTTTGTTATCTATTTTAATAGATTTATATAATTACAAGGACTTATCTAGTATTTACATTATCTAATTTGTCAGTTTGCTTTTTTCTGTACAATATTATATTTACATAGATACTCTATAATCTGTTAGTCATACTGATATAATTATTATTATAGGTATCTTAACCTAATTATTAGTAACAATTGTTATAATATAAGTATTACATAGGTAATTATTTAAATGTTTCATTGTCAATAAGATTGAACATCCAACCTATTACTTGAAAGATTGATAATCTGATTACTTTATTAAATTGTTATATTTTTTATAATAGATTTATAATATCTAATTTTTAAATAAACTTATTTTAATAAATTTTAGTTTAAATTTATAATTTTACTATCATTAGAATTATATAAATCTGCTTTATAACTTTGCTTAAAAATCTAAAATATTTAAATTAGTAAAAATATTTTTAAATACTAAAATAAAAAAATTTATAATTAAAATTATATAACAAGTAATAAATATATATTTTACCTTTAAATTTAATAAAAACATTTAAAAACAAATTTAAAATTTATTATTTGTTATTTATAAGAATAAAATTTTAAATAAATAGCTAAAGAAGCATGATGACATAATAAAGTAATTATGTTATCAACTTTTAAGTAGCAGATCTAGAGTTCAAATTCTAGTATTAATAAAAATTTGAAATTCTTTCTATATTATACAGTAATTAACTGTCTTTTACTATTAATTGAAATTAGATATCTGTTACCTATATTATATCAATATGACTAAAAGGTCATATAATATTTTTTTTTTTAATATTAAGATGACTTTTTTGGTCTTTTGACTTTTATTAATGACTTTTTTGGTAATATGATTTTATAAACTATTTCAAAAGATTATATAATTGGCTATATATATAACTTTTCTATATTACCTATTTAAGAAATCCATCTAAAGGTTTTCTACTAATTGCTGTATCTAATATCTCTGCTTGGATATTTTATTTTAAACTCTTTGAATCTGTAATTTGTGTTAACTCATTGGGTTATATTCAGATGCCTTAATCATTGTCTTAACATTAAGACTATTTTATCCTTAAGGTAAATTTCCAGAACCTTTTGTACTTATGTTTATAGTTGATCTAAGTATTGCTATAGCAGAACCAACACTTATAATCAGAGTTATATCATTTAACTGTTATGCTTTTGTAAAGTTCACACAGACCCCAGCATCTACTTTACAGTATAATCTCAGTACTTTAGTATATCTCTGCCTTTTGTTCAGCCTTTTGTCTAAATTTCCAATTCTGATAGCTTATGTAAAACTACAACCAGTCTATTGGTATATCAGGTTAACCCAATATCGTTTTCCGCTAGTTTGTTTTAGCAACCTGGTTGGTAATACCTCTGAGACTTTTAACTCAAAGGTTCTTGTTTGTTTAAGTACTACAACCAGATACTATAATCTTAGTATCTGTTTTCTCAGGCTAGTCTTTATAGTAAAACTGAAAGATCTTGCTATCTCTCTAATCAGGTCTTCTTAAATAGACTTTTTGTTATTTAATTTTAACATATTTATATAGTTACAAGAACTTATCTAGTGTTTGTACTGTATAATTTGTTAGTTTGCATTCCTCTGTATAACTACTTATACAGATGCTTCATGATTTGCCAGTTATATTAGTGTGGTCACTATTACAGATATCCTAATCTAATTATTAGTAACAGTTGTCATAATACAAATATTATATAGATGATTATTCAAATTTTTACTGTTGATAGAATTTGAACTTCAATCTACCACTTGAAGAGTTACAATCTTATTACTTTACTAGATTATTATACTCTTTATATAGTATTTATAAAATAATTGCATCTTGTATAAATGAATATAAACTAGTATCAGATAGTATAAATCTGTAATAAGTCTTAATAGCTATATAAATTATAAAAAATCAGAAAAATAGAAGTCTAGTTGAAAGATTTAAGTAGAGAGCTAGCCTAAACTTTTAATAATATTATTATAAAAACTAGACTTATAAAAATAGAGTTAGAATTTATAAAACTAAATAATATCTGGTCTTTAAAAAGAAACTGTTATAGCCAATCAGATTATCAAAACTCTAAAAAAAATAATAAAAAAAAGATTATATACTAAAGAATATGTAAATAAGAAGTATATTTGTATTTATTTTTTTATATTATCTGAACTAAGAGTTTAATAAAACTTAAATTAATATCAAAATACTAAAGATATATTGTGAAGTGAGTATTAGAGTTGAAGTAAACTCTACAAGAACATAATAGTTTAATGATATATTCTGATTGCAAATATTAGTTTCAATTATAATATTATCAGATTAACTATAAGAATAAGATACAGAAAATTCTAAAAATTTTAATACAAGATTAAAAATTTTTTATATAAGTAAATTGTTTTAAAAACTTAGTAATCATAATATATTTTTACCAGTATTAACCAGAGTTATTGATAGGTGTAGTTAGGTAGATAAATATAGAAACTAGAATGTTTAAATAGAAAACTTATAAGAAAGTTCCAGTTATAACAGCTAGTATAGAACTTTTAGACAAACTACTTAAATTAAACAATGACTAAAGTTGTATAAATAATATTTTTTATAATTGCTGCCTATGATTATAATACAACTATCAATAAAATCCTATATTATAAGTACTTATCTTAATATTAAAAAAAAATAAATTAATAAACAATTATTAAAAATTTAAAAAAACTTTAATATTATATTTTATTATATTTAAAACTTCAGTTTTACTTTTATTATTTTGTAGTTACTAATATTGTAAATTATTGTAATATATAGTTTTTGTTTTTACTATTGCTTTTAGTGCTTTGTATACTAATATTTTTTGATATTATTGTTATTTTTTTTTTTATACTTAAAGTTTCTGTCTATAGAGATTGATATTTTTATTTATGTATTTGGACCCAGGTGCCTTCAGGGGCTCCCTTATATTGGAGGTTACAACTAGTCACATATGCACTTTTGGTGTCTAATTTAAGTAGTCCATCTATACATTACTATACAGATTCTATACAAGATGCCATATCTGCAAACCAACTACAAGTTTTGCCTATTTAAACCCTCTGCATATGCAGTCCATTATGTCTCAGAGTGACATCTTCAAGGCTACACCTATCCAAAGTATCTGATGTCTTTGAGGCCCCTTAGGACTAGTTTATTCTTAACAGAAAACTTACTAGAACTTTCCATATCTTATACATAACTGACCTAGTTTTATGTAACTTACTATAGTTGCCTAATACTTGCAGTTACAGAGGTTATTTATTTAACTATTATATTATACTATTTCTATTCTTATAAAGTTTACTAGAACCTTAGTACCTATTATTACAACATCTTCTCTATTATTCTCTACTAACTACTACTCAGAACTAACAGAACTTTTTAGACTTTCAATTCAGATGACCTGGTATAGTATACTTATATATCTTTTTTTCTCTAACAATTCTAGTAACCTGGTTGGTTATATGCTCCTCTACACATCTTGTTATCTGGTTTATCTGCCTATTCCTTTGGAGGTGTTTCTATTAATCTAACTATACTATTGAAAGTTCATGCTATTTTTTTATTCGGAAATTTCCAAGTAGGCTTCTGACTCTTCAGTTCCTTAGTTTATTGTGTCTAGTAATCTTATTATGAGTTTGCACTAAAGCCTTATATGACACCAGTTATACATTTTTCTATGTATATGTAATATTACACTTCACATAAATGCTCTGAGCTCTTATTCAAAATAGTGCGACTTAAGGTTACAGATACACCAATCTAACTAATCATCAAGAGACAGTTTGTCATAACACAGATATAATTTTTTAAATTTTATTATAGGTAAGATTTGAATACTAGATCTGTCACTTGAAGAATAACAATCTAATCACTACACTATGATCACTATCTTCAACTTTGTTATTGTTAGTTGTTTTTTAAGTTTATTATATATTTAATAGTTTTTTTATTTTTATTTTTTTACTTTGAAGTAGCAATCTTGCCTGTATGTCTTTTATTAAGTAACATATATGATTACATTATTATATACAAAGTCTATCACCAAGGCTACAATTAGCCATATATACAACTTTAGTTATTGTCTATTTAAAGACTCTGTCTGCAGATTATTTACTAATTGTTATATCTAAAACCCACCTGTAGGTTTCCTATTTAAAGTCTCTGATTTTCAACACTATTGCATATATGTGTAACTTTTACATTACTATTGTGCTAACATATTAGGTTAGAGCTACCTGGTTATTATTTATATCAAGGTACCACCCTATTGGATGTTACCAAGTATCTATAGTTCTTAATTTATTCTTGATGCAAGCTTACTAAGCTGATATCAAGATTACTACTTAGATTCAACTTAGTGTAATCTGTATCTACTAAACTGGTTTTAATGCTAAAGGTGTTCGAATTTCAGTAAGTCTATTTCTTTTCTATAGTTTTCTTTTATATTTACCGTATTACCTACTAGTGTGCCTTCTCTCTATTTCTGATATGTCCACCACTTCTCTCATATTGAGTGCCAACTCTCTATATTGGAAAACTTCTTTCTAGGGACTTCCTTATATACTAATCTTCTATTCATATGGACTTAGTCATAGGGCTTTATGTACATTTATATACTTCTATAGATTACAAAGTTTTTGTTTCTAGCTAGAATTGAACTGTTAACCTTGTCTGTGGAGAGAGGGGTGCCTAGACCACTAGGCTACAGGACCCTATCTATATATATTTAATAGTTAAGATTCAAAATTTTTTAAATTATTTATTATATAATAATATTTAATAACATTACAGAATTTATGACTTACAAACTTATTCTAATAATTATTTAAACCAAGTTTTTTTAAAAAAAAACTGAATTATAAAAAAAATAATATAGTTAGTATATTAAGCTTTATGAAAACTTTATTAAAGTACTAAGCATATATAATCAAATATTAAAATAGAGTTGAAAAAGAAGTTATAGCTTTGTAAGAACAGTTTAAAAGTACTTTAAGACTATAGAAGAAGTGATTAGTAAAAATTAAAGTTTTCATTAAGTAAACAATAAAGTTAGACATATTATTTTTATAAAACTGTAAAGTTTACAAGAAACATTTGTATGAATAAAAAACTTACAAAAACTATAAAGTTGATTCACTTATTATTTTTACTTTTTTTTAAAAAAAAGATTTGTAAAAAATAGCAATTTAATTTATCTTTTTTAAAAAATTAATATAAAACTTACCAAAATAGTTGGTATTTATTTTCTAATCAAAATTGTGAAAACAATACAGCAATACAAAAACATGACTTATGTTTTAAACTGCTAAAATTATAAAATATTGTTTTTAGACTAACCAGTTCTTATGCTAAATTTTTACATTTAAGTCAAAGTTTTATTTTATATAATTTTTTTTTAAATAATAAATAAATAGAAAAATAATTAAGTTATTTTTGTTTAATATAATTTATAATTTTTAAAAGCCTAATACAGTCATATAATTGTGATTATCTAATAGTTATAAAATGTAAGTTTTACTTTTTTTATTTATTTCTTTTTTGCTTTTATTTCTTGTTTTTGTATTTTTTATTATTTATTTTTATTATTCTATATTTTCTTTTATAAACTTTTTTTTTACTTTTTTATAAAAAAATATCATCAAATTGGTAATATTCTATTGTTAAGTGATAGTTGAATGCATGTTTAAATCCTCTTTTGTTTTTAGAAATTTAGATAACTAGTACAAACAAATCACTTATATGTACTTATAAAATTAACTGTAAGATATTAGCTCAATATATTAAGTTTAAAAAATGTTTTAGTATAAGAATATAATATCTTTATAACAAGTAATAATAAGATTATCAAAGTTAAGAAAAAAAAATAATATTGCAGAATTTGACTTTTATTTAAATACATAAATAGAATATGTATGTTTTATTTAATATTTAAATTTATATAAGATTTTTTTAATTTTTTTATATTATAAAAAAAATTAATATGATGATTGTTATACTTTTACTACTTATTAGATTATATTAAATAATATTGTAAAATAAAGTAATTGGTTGTATTTTATTAAAAACTGCTTTATTAATAAACTTTTATTATTATTTAATTTAAATAAGATTAATCTTATAATAAAAAAAATATTTATAAACAATTATAACAATGTTTTTTTTGCAGATCTCTTAATTAAAACTTATTAAGAAGCAAAATGTAAAAAAAAACACAGAAACATACTAGAAAGCAATACTTAGACCCATAACAAAAAAATAGAATAATAAAAATACATCTAATTAGAAACAAAAATACAAATAAAGAAACCATAATAATAGTATATAGAAATATACAAAAGTTTTAATAAAAAATAAAAATTTTGTAAAAATTTTAGAGAATTTCTGTAATTCTGTTTTGTAGATTCTTTAAATATACAAAAAGTATAATAAAACAAACAAAGTAAACAAGCAAATACATATAATAAATTAGTCTAATTAGAATAAATATATAATATAAAAATAACTAAACTAAACTAATTAATAATAAAACAACAAAAATCAGATATAGAAAGAAATATATATAAAGTAAGATCTAGAAGCTTATTAGAAAAGATACTAGAGAAGATGGTAATTTTAATGTAATAATTAAGTTGTTATCTTTCAAGTAGCAGGTCTAATATTTAAATCTTATTTATGATAAAATTTGAAAATTAAAATATATTATAAAAATTGTCTTTTGTCAATCAATTAGTCTTATGCATTTGTAATTCAAATACACTAAGTTGGGTCTTACTTGTTATTAGAAGCTTGAATTATTTATATAAAATATAATATTATATATATATAAAGAAATATTAATAACTAGTATTGCATAAAACTTTAGTACAAACTTATAATAAGACCACTAGATACAGAAGACTAAAAAAACAAAATCTTATTTAAAAATTTCTAAGTAAAAAGATAGTACAAACTTTTAATAATGCTGTTGGACTAATAAAAGTTTATGAAATATCTTTATAGAAATAGGTAGATAAATTAAATAACAAGATATATAAAAGAACATATAATTAATAAGACTATCAAAATTGTTAAAAGAAAAAGATACTAAGATACATCATATTAGGCTATTTGGATTGGAAGTTTGAAAAGTTCTGTTAGTTCTAAATTGTAGTTAGTAAAAGATTATAAAGAAAATGTTAAGAAGATATATATCAGAATTTAGATAAACTTTATAAAAATAGAAATAATATAATATAACAGTTTAAGATTAGCTTTGATTGCAAGTATTAAGTAATTATAGTATATTATATAAAACTAGATTAGATATATATAGAATACAGAAAGCTTTAATAATAATACTTCTAAGAATATAATGTATGAAATAAGGTATAGGGTTCTAAGAATACAGATAAGCATCTAGACCTTCTTGACTAATATGTATATCAAAAATAATCTAGTAATACAATAAGAATTGCAGTACAAAGAGTTTAATAAACAATGCTTCTAGTTAAGTTACAAGTATAGTAGCTAGTATAAAACTATTAGCAGACTATTTAAATTAGACACCAAAAATATATATATAATTAGTTATACTTTCTAATATAAAAGTAACTTCTTTAAGATCTTAGTCATGAGTTTTTATATTTTAAATACTAAATAAAAAGCTCTAGTTCTAAAAGAGGCTAGTTTAATAGATAAAAAAGACAAAAATATTAGAAAGGTCAATAGTACAGAGCTTACAAAATATTGAAAATATTGAATTAGTCAAGATACTAGAAATAACAGATGTTATAAAAACAAAACCAGATAAATATATAGTATTACTATTTGTAGCAGATGTAATAGATATAACAACAATAAGAACACTAAATAAAGTTATTGCAGAAATTAATAAGAAAAGTAGACTGAGAAACTGTAATTTTAAAATAAAAAAAAATATACAATAATAAATAATAAATAATATAGAAGATATTAATAAGATTAAAAAAGTGACTAAGATAAAAAACAGCAGAAGAAAAAAAAAATTTAAAAAAAATAAAATATGCAAAACAAATAAAAAAAGAGCAGATATAGATAAAAAACTAAGAAATATAGTATAAAAACAAGATACAGAAGAAGAAATAAAAAATAAAAAAATCTTATAATAAAGTACAAGCTAAGATAAAAAGAAAAAAAAGAAATATAAAGAAAAAAAGTAATAATATAGCAAGAAAATGCAACAAAGTACTATTAAGCAAGGAATTTGGATATTAGATAATAAACTGTACAATAATAAAATACTAATAACTGCAAAAATTTTTATATATAATATAGTGATATGTGCTAACTCTGATCTATTAGCCAGGCTGGTAGGCAGGTTGAGGGTCAACTCATATTTTTGTGAGCTAACCTGATCAATCTTTTTACCAAAATAAAATTTTAAATAATATTATACAGCATGATAGTAAAACATTACTATCAATTATTTTTAATAAGTCTTAAATTCTTGTTTTTCTAATATTTTTATCTGGATTATCTAATGTTTATCTACATATGTCTATAAGTTTACACATGCTTTATATTAAAAAACAGACTTTTATATTGTAATTTATTCGCACTACTATAAATTATAATGCTAATTTATATTCGAATTTATTAAAAATAACTTTATATTGCAATTAATATTAATTTACTTATTATAATTCTATATTATTTAAATTTTACTAATATAATATATATATGCTATATTGTTGAAAATAATTTGTTCCGAACATTAAGGCATAATTTATAAAATAGCATATACTGTAAAGCTTGAATCTATTGTCATGCTAAAATTTTTATATATTAATTTTATCATTAAAAATTATTATTATCATTATTAGCATTATTTTATTATCTCATTTTGTATAGATCATTACTACATTATGTTATCATAGTTATTATTTCATTTTTGGGTAATAATTAACAGAAGAAAACATACCTAATCCAAAGTAAATCCTACATATAATGTGATCAATTAAAACTGAAATTATTTATATTAGTTTTAATTAATCACATCATGCATGGAATTCACTTTGGATTAGGTACATTTCCTCCTGTTTTAATAATTACTTTTTATTATATTAGTGAATTCTCATTACTACATTTTTTGTAAATTGTACTTTTTTTTCATTTTCCTTACATTATATAATGTGTAATCAGGTTTAAACTAGAGTATATATAGAGTATTACTATTTGTAGAAAGTATAATAGTTGTTTTTTCATTAGTAAAATAATAAAATTTGCTCCAATTCCATTATATATATGCTGATTGAAGCTTAAATATTCTCTAAACTATATAATATAAATTCTATAAAATTCTTCTCAAAGTGAACCTTTTCCAAGTTGCACTTTATTGCTTAATTATGATAAAAAAAAACATAACACTTAATCTCAAATTAAAAAGAGTTTAACAAACCACCTTTGATATCTCAGAGTCATCAAATAAAATTAATACAGAATTATCTAGTACCTAATTTAAAAAAGTGCAAAAAATTGGTCAATTAGAAAATGCTTTTATAACTGAAAATGAAGAACTTTCAAGTCAGACATCATATAATACAGGTTCATTACTTCATTTTTTATCTCAAGATGAAGACCATCAAATAATCATGATTAATCAATTTTTAGAAATTCTAAATATTAAAATATTAACAAATTATGTAGACAAATTAAATAAAACAAAATTAGTGACAAGAGCTTCTAGTTGGGTTTGGAACTATATGAAAAAAGATAAGTTAAAAAAACAAATTAGATGTGATATTGTTATAACTAATTTGAATGAAAATAAAAAAAAATATAATAAAACATTTAGTATTACAACATCAACTATGAATCTTAGTGAACACCTCAATTCTGTTTATCGAATTTTTTCTTACCAACAATACAAAAAAAATTCTGATGGACAAACTATAATAGATTCAGATAAATCAATGCAAACTATACTTTTAATGTTTTCAAAAATAAAAGCTCATAAGCCAGCTAAACAACAAAAATTATTATATCATTTGACTACATGGATAGTTGATAATTGTCAAGCTTTGAGCATTGTAGAAGAAAATTGTTTTCAGCAGTTTTGTTATAAAATAAATCCTCATTTCAAGGTTTCTGACTCAGCTCTAATCAAAACAAAAATTAAAGAATCAGTGCTCTTTGCTAAAGATCAATTGCATAATTTAATATCAAAAACAATAAAAATATTTTCTTTTATCACAAATATGTAGACTAGTATGCATTATTCTTATATTGGTATAACTATCCATTAGTTTTCAGATAATTTTAAATTATATCAAGCAGTGTTAACTATAGAGGAATTTTCTTATTTACATTTAGGAGAACACCAAAAACAATTTTTATCAAAAATTTTCGAATATTGGAATATATGTAATAAATTAATAGGAGAAACAACTGATAATAATAAATTAATTGTTAAAGGAATAAGACTTTTTGAAGCACCTTATATATGTTGCACTGCTTATACATTTCAATTATCCATTAAAGATAAACTTAATGTCTGTAATAATCTTTTAAATAGGGCAAAAAAAATTAAACAACTGGTTAGTAAAAAGAGACCGATATTGTCAAAATCTTGATAATATTCAAAATGAATTTAATCAGTTGTTAGAAAATGGGGTGGAGTCAATAAAAATGGGACAAATTTATCTAATAGATTTGTCCTATTTCTATTAACTCTATCCCAAATGTCTTAGAAGACACAAAATGGCTATTATTAGAAGGTGAAGATTCTGAATCTAAATCTGAAGATTTAACTGAATTAATAGAATTACTATCATCATCACAGTTACAAAAAAAAAAAAACTTATCTATTGTAGAACCTATTCATGATGTAAAGACCAGATGGAACTTAACTTTTTTGATCTTAAAAAGATTACTTCAATTACAAGATGCTGTAGAGCAACTTGCAAGATCTTTATATTGGCATCCTGATTTTCAACAAAGAAAGGATGAACAATCTTTGAGTAATAAATTACTTTTAGAAACAGAATGAAAAGAATTAGAAGCACTAATATTACTTTTAGATTCTTTTGCTCAAATAACAAAATTAATCAGAGGAGCATAATATCCAACCTTTGGCATGATGCTTCCTACTGTCTCTCTTCTATTCTTTTATCTGTACTGAATGAAAGAGTCACTAACTTCATCCAACATCCTTAATATTTGTTATCAAATTGAGGATTCAATAACTAAATGTTAGGAATTACCTTTAATAGAGGCTTATATTGCCTCTTATCTAGATCCACATTTCAAAGGTATGTCTTATAACAGAGAAAAAAAAAAGAAGTTCAAGAAATAATAACAAAAATAATAAAAACAAATACTATGAATATCTCAAAACAAACTGAAATGGATCGATTTTTTGATGATGATAATCAGACTAATTATCTATCAGATAATAAATTAGAATAGTATAAACAAGCAATAAAAATGAACAAATATCATATAGACTATCTACTTTACAAAATCTACAACCCTCTTATCTGGTAGTGTACACATCAAAAGAATTATCCAAATTTAGCAACATTAGCTCAAAAATTTTTTGCTTTTCTAGTAACTTCTGTACCTTCTGAACATTTGTTTTCTGAAGCAGGTAATGTTCTAACAAAAAAACAAAACTATTTAGATCCAAGACAGTTCATGATATATTGTTCTTAAAAACAAATTCATATCTATTTAATGTTTTTCTTAGGCTAGAGTAAAAGTTTTTTTTTAGTATAGCTTTCAAGTACTCATCTTATTTTTTTGTTTTTTATACATATTGTATAAGTTTTGAGCAATAAAAATATGTATATACATAACTTAAGAATATGTTTTTTAGATCTAACTAGATCTATTCATCACAGTTTTATATTTAAAAACAAGCAGGTGTTTCAAGAATTATAAAAATAGTTGATGCATTAAATTTAAAGCTTTTATTTCTGATATAAAATAATCATTATACTAATAGAATTACATATAGTATTATCTGCCAAATAAATTAAAGAGTCTTAATTATCCTTCTCACTTCATCAGACTGACAAAAGTCTAAAAACATAAAAAGTAAAAATATAATAAATTGATCTATAAATATAAACATAGGCAGATATAAGAATAAAAAAATAATACTTTAATTCAGTTACTGATAATTTTTTATTCATAAACTTCTACATTCTAGCATCTTGTCATAATTGCTATTACTGTAATGCTATTGCAATACATCTAGCATCTAATCATAATACAAAAATGGTAAGAATAAAAATTTCTTCTTGGGTTTTGTGAGGAAATTTTTATTGCTAATCTTTGAAAATTGCAGCACAATACATGAAATTTGGATTAAAAATATAATTATATTGCATCATACTGCATAAAAAACAATACATAATAAAACAAATACAGTAAAGATAGCTATGCCAAACTTATAGATTTTTAAAAAAGAGTACTCTTATATTCAGAAAATCCTGGGCTGATGATCACTTAAGATCACTTCTGATCCTACCTAGATCCAATAAAATTACAGGATCTTATGTAACAAAACAAATGTGAAAAACATGAGAAATTATAAAAAATGTAAATAACATAAAAATTTACTATAATAACCAACTTCTGACCTCTAAGTAAAGTTTTTCAGAATAAAATTTTACTTATAAAACACAATTATTAATGTCAAATATATAGTAAATTTTTAAGATACTATGATTCATATTTTTTTGGTTAACAGCTTAGAATTTTTTGGACATAAGGATATCTCTTAAAAAATTAAAAAATTATATGTTGTAAAATAATTAGCCAGTTGATCCAGGTTGACCCACCTAGTATCGGCCCTTGACTCACTAGTTTTTTGTCAGCCCATATCACTATAGACAATAGATTAAAAAAAAGAATTATGATTTGAAAAAAAATATAATAGAGTTACTTGAATTAAAAGAGTTAAAGTTAGAATTAAGTAAAATAAAAAGAAATAGTAATAATAAATAGAATATTAGAATAGATAAAATAGCAAAAAAAGGAAGTAGTATAGAAAATAAAGATAAAATTATAAATATGCTACTATTCAATTCAAATGTATTACTTTGTTAAAAAGAAACATTTATAAAAAGGCCAATAAAACAATTTGTCAAAAATATTATAGATTTTAAAGTTGGCTTAGAATAGAAATTTATATTTTACTATTCAAAAATTAGAACCAAATAAAAAAAAAAGCATGACTGGTCACTATTATGAAGAAAAGTTAGAAGTTAAAGTAAAGTCAGATGTATAAGTATAAAAAAAATAAAGAAATTGTAATACTAATTAAATGTGTTAATGAAAAACTACTAGTACTAAAGATCTTAATAAAGAGATGTTCAGATATATACAAAAGACTATACTGCATTTTATATAATAAAGACCAAGAAAAAGATTAAGAATATTTAGCTACATGTAAAGATTATAGAAAAGAATAGACTATTACAAAAAATTCAGCTATTAATTTGACCTAAACAATGCTTTTAAAAAAAACTCATAAGAAAACAAACAAATTGGAACTAACAAAAATCTTATAAATAAATTCAGTAAAAAAGAAAAAAATATATAGATTTAAAAGCATTAAGGGACTAATCTAAAAAAACTAAAGAATTCATAACTATATAGACAAATATAATATAAAATAACTTTTTTAAAAATATATAAAAAAAATATTGTAAAGCAGTTACTAATTAAAAAAAGATAAATAGAATTAGCTTTAAAGATAAAAAAAAGAAAGAAAGTAGTTTAAAAAGTAATATAATCAGCAATTTGATAAATAGGATACATGAAGAAGTTATAAAAAAGAATTAAAACTAAACTATAAAAAAAAAGAAAAAAGAAGAAGAAAAGAAAATACAAAGTTTATAGTTAGGTTTAGTTGTTGATTAAATAAGAAGGAAAGTAAAACTATTCTTTTATAATTTTAATGACTAGCTTGGTATAACTCTCTAGTCAGTATAACAAACTGTTTCTGGATATATATAGAAGTAGTCAGAGGATGTTGAGCCAAAATTTAAGTCAACTTTGTACAAAATTATATATATTAGACTTTTAATAAAAGTGATCAGCAAGGCTACTAAAGAAAAAAAAAAATAAGATAGTTATTAAACAATTAATTTTTAAAGTTAGATAAAATTTTTACTAAAAAGAGTATAATATAATTTTGTATTTACTTAATAAAAATATAGTTATATAAATTTTTTTTTAGTAAAAATTTTTAACCAACTTTAAAAATTAATTTTTTAATAACTATTTTATTAAATTACTTCAAATTTTTTTTTAATATTATAAAAATTTTTGAATTTTAACATATTAATTTTTAAAAATTTTTAAATTTAAATTTAATTTTTTATTAATTTTTAATTAAATTTAATAGTTTTAATTTTAGTAAAAAAACTTTACTATAAATTTTAATAAAATTTTAGCTTTTATTTAACTTTTGTTATAGTAATTAAAAAATTAAAAATTTTTTTCTAATTTAGATTTATATAGTACTATTTATAATAAAAGTTTTAAATCTATAGCTTTTTAATTTAAAAAGTTAAAAGAAGAGAATACTTATGATTGTATCTATATTTGAATTAGAAGTTTAGAAAAAAAACAAAGATATACTAAAGTACTAAAAATATACTATAAAGTAGATATTAGAATTAAAATAAATTCTATAAGAATATAACAGTTTAATAATTAGTTTTACTTGCAAGTGTTGGTTTAGTTATAGCAATACTAGACCAAGTTGTAAACTGACTATACAAATGATTTTAGAAAATTTATCTCAAAAATAAATTTATTTTAAGTTTAAAATAAGAATCTGAACATAACCTAATAAAGTTAATACAGAATAAAGTTTTTTTTTTTGCTTATGCTAAGGTGTAGTTATTGGTGACTATTGCCTTTATTGTATTTTAATTATGATTATATAACTTGTACAAGATAAGTATACAACTAGCTATATATATAACTTTTGGTTGTTTATTTTAAGTAATTCATCTGCATAGCAGGTTCTACACTAATTGTCATACTTGCAATCTACTAGAAGATTACCTATTTAAATACTCTGATTTCTATACTTAAATTGACAAATAGCATATAAGTTTCTGTATATTTAAGTGCTGTCTAATCTAATTGTAAACTCTCTGTCTGTACATTCATTAAGCTATTACATATTTCAGAATACATTATCTAACTATAGGGCTTCAGAAGACCTTTCTGCTAACTAATTATTCACATTTAGTCTCTTGTTAACAGAGTTGGCTCTTGCAGAGTTCATCTAGACTTCAGTACCAACTTCATAGTATATCCTTAGTACTTATAGTATACTCCTGTTTCTGATTTTAAACTCCAAATTCAGATAGCCTGATAGAACTATGACCTGTTCCTAGTACCCTAGAGTCTGCTCTCTAAGAACTTTTTCTTCTAGTTCAAAACTTCTAATGGCCTGATTAATAGTACTCTTCATCAAAGATTCTTGTCTGTCTGATTTTTTTTCACATTGGTATCTGTTTTTTAGATCTAACCTTTATAGTATTACTATTAAAGATCTGTGCTATTTCTATACTCAGGTCTTTCCAAGTGGACTTCAGTTTTCCAGTTCATAAATTTATATAACCATGAAAACTTATCTTAAGTTTGTACTGTCTAATGTTAGTTTGCATTTCTCCATATAACTTCAACATTGTGCAGATGCTTTATGACCTGTCAGTTATCATGTGACTATGTTATAGGTACTGATCTTAACTGATCAACAGAGTGCTATTGCTGTAATACTGCTTAGCTCTTATAATACTGATATAACATAACTAATTTTTCAAATTTTTGTTGTCAGTAGGTTTTGAACTCCTAACTTATCACTTGAGAGGTTGACAACTTATTCACTTCACTAAGTTGTTACACCTCATACAGAACAGGTTCAAAAGATTTAAAATAGAATATTTAAGCAAGAATATTAAATATAACAATTGGTAGAAAACATTAAGCAGACTTCTTAAATAAATAATATAGAAAAAT